AATCCGGCTGGTTGCGCAAGAACAATGTGATACCACCGGTTGCTATCAGAAATCCGATTTAATTCCTGTATTGTTTTTAATGTTTTATTTATTAAAACGGGGGTTCGCCCGCTGCTTCCATAAGGCGGGGTTCCATAGCTTTCTCTAATAACAAAACAATTGGATGATATGATAATTATCTATTTTGTAACTACTGTCGTCTCACATGAAGCAACGACACGTTGATTCGTGGGTTAGCGATATTTGAGTTGCTAAAAAGCTAGGAAATTCTTAGTTTTCACACAAGAAATGTTGAAAACTAAACTGCAGAGCGCTTTAGTTCCTGTTTTGGGCAAGAACGTCAGAAGCTAAAATTATCCGATGTCGCTGGGCATTGTAAGAAGGTACGTGAGAGATGGTTAGTCAGTGAATCGGGAATTCTGAAACATACAAAATGGTCATGTACTTCACATCCTGTCGTTGGTTAGGGAACCTTTTTGTTTCAAGGTTGCTGATACATAGACAAGCTCTACATGCTCTATGCATGCCTGTTAATTTGTTGAGATTACTCGTCGATGATTAGATTACCCATCGAGCTCAATGCCACCGTATACCTCATGGTTCGTCCCAAGAAGAATTATCGTGCGCTTCTGTTAATCGCTTTAATAAATCTTAGGTCTCTTTATGTTCCAGTTGACAACAGGGACAAGCGAGAGAGTTCTGTGGACGCAACTGGCTCAAAATTCTAAAAATTCTGCATAATACTCGATCTCATAATATAGTACTGAATCTAATCGAAAGGTCGGTAATGCTGTGTATAGCTGGAACCAGCGATTTCAAAGTACTAAACCACACAATCAAAGATGAATCTTTTGTACATCAGCTATGACAATTAATTGTTGAAGAGTCCGCCGATAAACAGTTTCACGTTTCCCGTCTCCTCATACCTTTCCGTTCAGTGTTTCCAGGTGTTTTTTCATCATAAAAAACATCTCAAAGTATTACAAACATTTTGCTCAAAGTCGTAAAAAGTCGATCATTGTCACTTACTGTACTAAACAACGGTCTATTTCTACGATCGAGACTACGAACGCGTTTAGAATCTCATTGGAGCTGAATCGATGCTGGCCATAAAAAAATATATTTGGTGTTCAAGTGTAATCCCTGCTGTTTACAACGATTGTTTTTGCCGTTCCCTTGTGTGTCTCTCTTTACTGTTTTGTCTAAAATGAAGAAAGTTTCAAAACCATTTTATTCAAGGGTGGGATTATTATAAGGCGATGTCAACGACTGTCTCGGTTTTGAGATTCTCCAAATTCAAGCTTTAAGCGGGAACTGCAAGTAAAAACGTTTTAGAAAACGATCGAGTGCTTCCTGATTCTATGGTCATAAACAGTGCTCTACATTTTCCTGAATCTTGAATTTTGAGGAACAATTTTCCATAAATCCATCTTTAGTATACTTTAGAGTGGTTCAGTTTACGTTTACCTTAGATTCTGGTCCAGATGCGATCGATGGTGGGTGAAAACAAAGAACGGGTAAGTGCTTCGAAAAAACTAGAATAAAACAAAACAAACAAGCTGAATCTGCTGTTATCGGGTGAGAATATGAACCACTTTGGTCTTAATTCCTTTTGTTTCGTATTTTGACTTTTTGCATCATCATCTACCTATCGATAGAGCTAAGCCAGATTAGTATCACAAAAAAGCAGACAAAACCATGGATTGAATAAAAATAACTGGCTCATATTCTAAACAACAGGAGTGACAGATTGTACAGTGCATATTTTGCTTATGTGACCAAAACATGTGATAGAATAGCAGCAAGATGTGTTTCTGACAACAAAAGCTAAGAGCCTAACACAAAAGAAAACACATAACCAACTGTGGTTGAAATAAAAAGGGGCACGCCTGGTTATAAGGTTGCCCACGATCAGGCAGTATTTAGGAGTGGCTGTAGAAACAAAAACCCGTTTAATTTAGAAATACGCAGAAGTTACCGCATCAAGTTTAGGTATCACTGGATTTTCAGAGTGCGAATACACTACTTGTATTCGTGTAACTCAGTCAACTTTAAAGCTGCATGAGTATTTCCCTTTAATGAAAATCAATTCAATCTATAGTAAGTGCTTTCTTCAAATTGTTTAAAATGACGGCTTTCTCGTGATTTATTCTTCTTTTGAAATTTCGCTTGATATTCAGTTCTCTTGCGGAAGTTTTTGAGCCCATGTTTGATCAGGAAAAAAAGGAAGTTTAGCTTCATTTACCACTCAAGATTCAAAACTTATAAATAGTCACTGACAATCCTAAGAAAGGTGCGGAGCCCCGCTCTCGAGATTTTCCTTATCAAACGGCCATTGAATGAATAAATTCTGCTCATAGTCAATGTCCTAACAATTCTGCTTGTTTTGAAAGATGCGATATTCCAAGCCATAAAAGTTCACATTAGACTTTAGTGCTAATCATTTTTGATGGCGCTGAGAACGTCTTGCACGTTCAGCCAAAGGAAATAATCTTTTTCGCATATGTTGAAAGTAAACACCCCACGGCAGAAGTTGCATATTTTGCCAGATTACATTCCAAATTTGATTTCGTATTGTGACGAGCCTTCAAGAAAGTAAAATTATCATCGTCATAAAATGATTCGCCTATTTGCTTTTTTTGTCTACAATTTTATATTTATATGATTTTAACAGCTTTGACGAGTTTTGCTCAGTTATTACAACACGCGAATAACCACAATTTACTATAACTACATAACTTCAAAAAGACCGGCGAAGGTTGAAAGTTTATCTCTGATTTCCCTTTCTAGAATAGTTACTAACTGTACGCGTGGGCAAATCCTGTTTTGTCATAAAGGAACAGCTGGAATCAAAGTTGTCCGTCATAGAGGATTTGTTGGAATGAAAGCGTTTTATTTCTTAGAAAGTCGTTTTACTTACCTTAGTAATATAGTGTTATTTGAACTACTGGAAAAGGAAGACGTTTTGTTCACAAACGAGTCCAGAAAAATTGGAGAAAAAAAAAGGGCCTGACCCTGGCATTTAGCTGAACTTTAAAACAAAAATTGTTCATAACTTGTTTTGTCATTGTTGTTGTTTTTTGTCAGACATGTAAGTAACCTTGCAAGACAAACTAAACTTAAGCACATGATATGAACGACTCTTATGAAATTTTATCGCTGTCTGCATTCCAAAACAAATATGACATTTGCATGCAAGATGAACTGATTTGGGCCAGTAAGGTACATCATGTCAAGTACGGCCAAGTACGGTTGCTTGTATTAAGATCCGCTGTGGCGTTCTTCACGCCTGCTCCAGCCGTGAAAAACGCGTTAGCCGACGACCTAAGTTAACTGGCCCAACCAATTGGTTGGAAGCTGTTTTTTAAAATGATAGACGGCACCACACATAATTTGATTGAATTTTCTCTCAATCGCTTAAAGAAGCTAAGTCGCGCCATTTGCTTTCTTTTTAAAAAGCTTAAATATTTCTTATCACCTGTTGAATTTCAAAAATAATGGTCCTATTTTGTTATTTAAGACTATATTTGGGTATTTTAAAAAGCTGTTTTCTTTTGTATGTTGCTACGGATGGCAAGGATTAATATGTATTTAAACTTGAAAAAATTGGACAAACGTTTGATGGTATGCCTGGAAATCACCAAAAGAGTTATACTACGGTTAGTGCTTCCTCTTCTTCATAACTATAGGAGCATTTTTTGTATGCGTTAAGGCACTGGGTAATGACCTCAGAACAAATTAAATAGACCTAAAACAGTAGTAGTCTCGTGACATAGCCCTTTTAAGAGCATTTGATACGTATTCATAGCTCTTTAACGTCTTTCCCTGACCAAAATTCTAATAAGAGGATAACCTACAATCCTTTCACCAATATTAACTAAAAATTGTAGCTTTTTGACCCATTCCGAAGGGATTTCGTAGACACTGGCCTTTGAGGTCAATGTCTTAACTGAGAAACTAGTGCGGCTAAAAGTTGCGGCTGCAAGTGGTCGGAATAGTGGTTGTGCAATTTTTGAACCATAATGGGCGTGGATAATCATGTGACCAGGTATATTCATATTCTATTTCGCCTTCTCAGCATTCGTTCTCCCTCTTGGATACTTGTATCTGTGACTTTTAACAAATGTGCAAAACAACTATGATGATTTACAACCAGGCCCTAAACTACTTTAGTGACCATGCATGCCACTGTGTGTTAGTTCCTACTATCATATTTCCTGAACTACTTAAAGTTACACAGAACGCCTGATAAACATAACCCTTGAGGTTTTTTCGAGATGGTCTATTTTACAACTTACAAAAACATTTAGAAATAAGGGATTAGACCGCTTGACGCCCTTGAGTGCGTGATATTATGATCTTTCCTGGGTTGTGGAAATAGGCAAGGAGAGCACCAAGCACGAAAACTTTGTAGCTGCACTGGAGCATTATATCTAATTCTTGAACACTTTGCGGAGCAGATTTGAATATGTCTGTTGCCCCAATGTTGACTGGTGTAAGGTGTCTCAAGTCTCAAGCGACTTTTGAAGAGGCCATATTTCATTGAAAATACCGGCCAGTGTTAACTTCCTGCTTCAAATGCTGTCCAAGATGGCTAAAAAAATATCCACAAATGGGGGTTGGTATGAAATTTTGCCCTTTATTGTTAAACGAAGTTGTGATTTGAAAATGACTCAGTATGTTTTACTTTTTTTTATTTATTTCCCCTGATCATATAAACAGAAGCTGTAATCGACAGCCTTCATTAAGACTACAATGCGAAGCCTTGTACTGAGAATATCTCATAGCGACAATAATTAATCTAAGCCAAGAGATCATAACAATTATAAATTATGAATTATTATTAATTATAAATCTATTATAATTATTAATTATTATGATCTCTTCTCAAAATACAATATATCATATAACGATAAGATTCCGCTTAGCTTGTCTACTTTAGTCCTAGGGAAAACTGACAGACTTTAATAACTGCTAATGGGAGCTTTTTCTTTTTCGGCTTACATCCTAGACGCACAACGTCCATCGAGTTTGCTGAAATCCATTTGCATTATAAGGATTTGGCTGTATAAATCTTCCAACAAGGCAAATGCTTGAAAAGCAATTCCTTCAAGTTGTAAAGATGTCACAGGCAATCTCGCTTGCTCTGCAGCCGCTGAGCTCTGGGCAGTAACCATGTCACTACTCCAACTGCTTGTTTTGTTGATGACAGCACTTTTGGTGGGACGGATAACTTCTGTATCTGTATTTCTAGACTGCAAAGGAACAAGGATTTTTTTACATGGCACAGTGAGTGGGTTAATTTCAGTCACATTACTATACAATTAGCTTCTTGTTACATTATTTACTTACTAGAAAAAACCTATTGGACTCAGTCGTTCGAAGTTACATCAACTAAGATGATACCGGCTTCAGCCCACCTAATAAGTATATTCATTGACTTTTGAAACAGATCTCCACCCACTGATAGCCTCCGATCTGTATAGGCTTTGCAGATCAGCCGCTACTGCTCAGAAAAAAAATCTTCAGAGCAATTTTCGTATGACCTTGAAAAACGGTTTCGGTAAGTGTTCGTTACTTGTTTTATCAACCAATGAATGAAAAGATCAAACCATGGCCTCTTCGTTTTCCTACCAAAGAAACCCTAATATGGAGAAGGCATTGTTCGACTGGCCAATCGTGTTGCAGTATGACGTCAAAACGAAGTATCGGTTGATTTCTAGTTATCGGGCATAAAGTTTTTTCACCCGAGCGTTCGCCTAACCAACCAAAAGCCAAGCGCGTTTGTATCCGTTCGATAAACCAATCAAATCGCTCTATTTCCGTTCGTTTGTTGTTTCTGTTTTGTTCGGGCGTTTTCATTTCAAGGTCATACGAAAATCACTTTTGAGCAATTGATCATATTGAGCTACAATGAGGATGTCTTCAAGTTACCTTGGGCGCGAGCTGAATTTCCTGGATGTAATGAATGACATTTCTTGCAATCCATTCTATTCTTTGCAGACGGTGTGCAATATCATTGGCGCCTTGTGCAATATCATTGGCGGCTGAGAAGGCGGAAAACTGCTTTTTTAACTTCCTTAGAGGTGAGATAAAGGCCCGTGCAATTTGTCGGTTTACTTCCAGTGTGCCTTGAGGCTGTGAAGACGGAAGACATAACGTTTGAATTAAAAAAATTAACTTTTATCTTATTAAAAATGTTAAACATATTGTTTGTAAAAATAAAAGGTTGCGTCATGCCAAAAAGTTAAAAATAAATATGTATCAAAAAATCTGCAGACTGATTGTCAGTTCAGAGAGAAAACTAAAAGTCCTAACGAAAACTGTGTGGATCATAGTGATGGTAAACACCTGTCTTTTACGTTCTGAACGGACGTTAATAAAATCAGTGTAAAAGAAATTTTACATTTTACTTAAGATAGATGGAAATTATTCAATTCTCTTACCGTTGTTTTCTTCATGTTTTTTGAAGAGACGAATGTGGTTAACTGAATGTTTGATAATCTGTGTTTTTGGTCTTTGACCCGCCAGCGTATATCCTATAATTTATACAGGGAAACATAAGTTACTTTAACGACTTACACTCCCACTGAAGGGTATCGGGGACTTACTCTGTTGCCCTTAAGACCCAAAGAAATGTCAAATGTTGTTACTCGTAACCGTAACCTATAAATTTATATTTTTTATTTGAAAGTATACTACGATAACCTCTGCAAAAAAAACGTCGATTTCAACACAGCGTGATTTTTGTAACAATTTTTTTTTGGAAACTTTCAAATTTGCCGCCATTTTGGCACACCATTCGTCTTTTCTCGGTGAAGTAGTTAACGGATCGTTGGCCGAATTAACTGAGAATTCAGTACCCCCTTAGCACCCTCATTCAGATGCGTTCCAATAAGATGCAACAACACTAGCCACCCTGAGAAAGGAAAAAGCAGGCATAAAATACCGTTTCTTAGTTCCTAAATTTGTGTCCAATGACGTCACATATGAGCCTGTCAATTTCGACATCAGCGGAACAAGGGTGCCAAAGAACTTTTGGCCTAAAAATTTCTAAAAAAAAAATCGCATTTTGTTCAAAACGCAAAACTCTTTAGAAGAATTTGCTGTAGTAATGCGTTCTTTCAGTTAACATAATACAAATTTTTACGTCATAGACACTTAAAAGCGCCCTTAATTTAAACAAACCCACTATGACCTTTCTAAAATTTATTGGTGGGATAGAATCTCCCTTATCATTTCAGAGTTTTGACAACGTCATAGACAAGCATCGATACTTACAATGATTTCCTTTGTTTCAACCACCTTTGATGCCAGATTATCCAACTCTAGACATATTTTCTTCATGCCATTAGGTTGAAATTTTGTTACAGCTCCAGTCAAGTAAAGATTTATCAAAGCACAAATTGCCGTAGTCAAGACTGAAAGAGAAATGATAAGGTGAACACAATGAATTAAAAGACAAAAGTAAATAAATGAGAAATGGTGGACGAATAGATAGAAAGATGGGTGATAAACTTGATTGAAGTAGTTAAACTCACATGAACGAAATAATTAGTCAATTGAGAAAAATTAAATGAAGAAATGAATGAATGAATGAATGAAGGAAGGAAGGAGTGATGATGAATGAACGAACGAACGTATGAGTTACGGACAGATTGATGGATGAAACAACCTTAAGTGGACCAATGATGTAACCTGACTAAATGATAGCAACCAATAGGGAATATACAGAAAAGCGAGTTGATTTTTAGCCCTGTTGGCTATGCCCTACCCTCCCCCCCCCCTCCCAAACGTATCAGCAAACGGGTCAACAAACGTATCAAATTTAGTTGGGCTACTTACCTCTCATACTTTCAAGACCTTTTTGATTCACAGCCTTTTATTCTTTCTGGTGAATGTTAACTTAAGTTCTTAAAAGTGTACCAGAAGGGATCCCTTTATATACCCATCGTGAACTTGTAAATTTCTAATTTTAAAATGATTCTGCCCCACTCAGAGCCGGAATCATGCTCCGCTCCCCATTTCACAGACCTTTTTGGTACCTTGTTGCTGGGGAAGTGGTATAGTATGGTGGGGATTTTCGTCCCTTTTTGCTCATACATTTCTTTGCTTTTTAGGCAATTTTCTTTCTTTACCCTTTAGGAAATCATATTTGAAACCGTCCCATTTTAACACACCCACAAAAAATAATTTCCTATTCTTAATTATGATAATTTGCTGACAACAAGCGACGAGCAGATGGAAGTTAAAACTCTGACTAGGAAAAAGGCTAATAGGGAAGGAACACATGCACATGGTTATCCAATGCATGTTTCTCTTCATGTAACATTATTGCTTGGAATAAAAGCAGATTAAATGGTCTGCTGAGATGATGCACTAGATGGGTTCCCCTTTCTTTCGACAGCCAGTCTCTTCCGTGGGTTCTTCATCAAGTGTGCTGTCAGCCTGTGTCAGGGAAGAGAAAAGTAATGGGAATTTTCATCAAATGAACATCCATTCACTGTGGTTTGGGTGTTTAAAGGTGTAATTCTATTTTTATTTATTGTTCTCGACTGAGCACTCTTGCAACCTGGGGGATATTCGGTATTATTGCAGTGACCAGTTTGACCGACATGATAGCATTAATAACAATGGGAAAGATAGGGTATTTGCAACAGCCAGTAGGTCTGCTTCTTATCTGTCCATCATTGTAAAAATTACAAATAAAGAAAGAAGGCCGGCAATAGTGTGTTGTAGGCCTAGAACTGGATGGAAGGTAGTGAAGAGACTTTCTCCGCGCTATCCCACTGGTAAAGTCGCAGTCCGACTTATATATTCCTATATAACAGTCAGCCAATTGTGGCCTAACCTCAAAGTTCTTCAATACATATCGTATGGAGCTTTCTTCGGTCATCTGGCAGAGAGTTGAACTCAATGCAACGGTTTAAGGATCCTTTAAAGTTGAAAACTGGTAAGATCATTTGGCAATTCGAAAAATTCAAATGAAAGATCCTAATAAAAATTTCATTGATTGATATGCGTTGTCAGAAATTGCACCCAGTGGTTCTTCCGGCCTGCATCTTCAGTTGTTAAATCGTTAAAGTCAAATGAGCAGCTTTTACACCTGTAACGATATTATCATGGATTATTATTAGATTTGAACTCGTAGTACAAGCCGGTTGAATGATACATGTTAACACACACAAAAATATGACATAAAAATTTAAATTTAGCATTTGGTGTATTCTAATATATGACTATTACCTTAGTTACCACATAGCTCCATATGGCACGTATGTCAGAAAAAAGACGTATTTCATACTTTCCTCGTATCAATGAAGTATTGAGCCAGGCGTTTCAGTGACTTAGTGTAATCTTATGGAACCCGAATTTTAGCTTTAACAATTCTTTTTTATCGCTTGCACGAATATGCTTGCTAAATTGCACCATAATTTTGTTTCTTTGGTTATTATACTTATATTAACAAGCGTATGTTTCAAACGTCAACATTGACAATAGCTGTAGGGGAACAAATAATCCGATCGTAAACGACATACAGTATCATAGTGTCTTCAATCGTTTCCAAAAATATTAACTCGATGAATCAGGCAACATTTGGTAGGCCCATGTCATAACCATCCAAGTTTTGTTTTGAGCTACGCTAAGAGGAAGCCGGTTATGGATTTTGGTAGATAAAAAATATTTTAAAAACTGAAATAAAATTGGGAATAATAAAAAATTATACGTGTTACACACAACGACGCCATCTCCTTATTTCTACTTCAGTTTTCTTTCTTGATGCCCCTGCCACCTCCAGTCTGCGATTACAAATCTCTTTTTTAGTATGAGAATTTTTGCCAAAAATACATTATTATCATTTTTCTTTGAAAAAAAGTGGTAAAAAAGTTGCATTGACCCATGGCCAATCAGTGATATTTTTTTAATCTGAATATAAAGTAAAGTACCCAAAATATCGCATCGAGGAACTCACTTATTCATCTTAGAAGGGGCAAATCCCGACTACAAGTCTGTTTCATTGCATCACCGTCGACATGATGCTGTGCCAGTACGTACGGTAGTGTTGTTGGATTCGAAGATGAAGGATATCGAAGATGTGCTCTGACTTTGAGAAATTTTATGGGTTATAAGTTATCGAACAAGTTATTATCAACAGCTCCGGTGTAATTTGAACAGTAAAGTTCTATTCCCCCGTGCAAGCTAGAATTTCAACGGTTGCTTGAGTTGCCCGCCTTCGTAACGTTAAGTCGGGATGTGCGAATATGTGATTCATAATAGATTATTTAATAGATGTTTTACCACTCACTTTGTTGAACTGAACTCTTAAAAAAATGAAATAGATAAGTGATTACAAAATGCTTAACTTCTTTCCATCTATGTATAGCTCTTTGATCACTGTGTATGCGTACGTTTAAAACGAAAAAATATAATTATCAATGTTGCTTCCACTCCCGGGGCAGCCTTTTAGGACAGCTACAAAAAAGTTCACGGGAGAGCCCCTGGGCAGTTCCTTAGTTACCCAGGAATTCCCCATGTCCTATTGGCCTGCAGTTAAATATTTTCTTTTAGTTCGGATGCTACTGGAACTGGTAACTCTCACCTCGCAGACAAGTTTGCGTAGGTGGCAGCATATGTTTGTCGTAAGTGAGTTTTAGTTCGATTTTTTACCATCAAAACCTTGCTTTTTTCTGAAATCTACCGTTGAATGTAGGTTACCCTTACGCAAACCCCAACATGTGGTGCACCTCAGGGGTCGGTTTTGGGCCTATCGCTGACACTATCAGGTCTCACCTCACCAGTTTCACTTCCTTGCCGACGTCACACAATTATATGTCAACTTTAAGACCAATTATGATGTAGATGCATGCCCGGCCAGGTCAAGGGTTAAACGCTGTGTCGTGAATATTGACAGATGGGGAATAATAGCAAGTTGTTCCTATCAGAGGACACTAAAGAACTGTTGTTATTTTGTTTCAAATAACACTGAACTTAAGATTAAAGCAATAAGAATGCGCTGTTAGCCACCAGATAGAGCAGATATTCAGAAGAATGGAGTGCACAGTGGTATCAAAAGCAATAAGCTTCAAAAGTACGAGAAGTGTTACAAGCTCATCGTCGTTTTCAAACCTTAGTAGAGCAACCTCTGTAGAGTGATAATTACAGAAGAGGGAATAAAATTAAGAAAGAGCCCGAGGGAATTTTTTCGCAATGGACGAGAAGTTCTTGCGCAGCCTTTTCAACTACCTTAAATGAAATGAATGAATGGAAGATTACTGACACGGAGGAAATATTTATCAACCCATTCACGGGACGCCAAAGGCAGTTCCCCAATTCACAGGGACCTGGCTACTAAGAAGCGTGGGGGCTAATACATCTAGAAAGGACATCATGGGCCATAAAGGAGCAGGATCTAACCGAGGGGAGCTAGGTTGCATACTGCTGCCCCCTGCTGCTGCCCAAGGACAATTGATTACATGCTGTACATCCAATTAACTATACTGCATCAACAAACGAGCATTATATGCAAAAACTGCATGATTTTATTGCACCTACATGTTCATTAACTGAGACTAAAATATCTACATGTTCTTATTTTTGTTTGTGCGTGTTTAATCGAGATTCACTGAAAAAGCCTTTTTTTCCATTTAGTGAACAAATCTAATACTTAAAATTTTGACGGCAAAACGGCAATCTTGCAATATTTTGAAGTTCATGGCAATGCTACCCGATTTTTTCGATAGCTGTGCAATATTAATGTAATATAACATATCATTTCCCAAAGGAAGTACACTCGTATTATATATCATACCAAAGCTGGATAAATACATAAATAATAATTCTTGCAGAAGAAATAACTTAAAAACACAAATTGACAATTAAGAGATTATTTTATAGTATTTCGATTGAAACATCACAAAAGCAAGAGGCTAAAATAATACTTGACCAATAAAGAACTTAAAAACATAAATTGATGATTCAAAAGCTCATTAATAATTCATAAAGAAATGAAATAAATTGATAATTAAAAGAGTGTCTTTATATCTGATAAAGACACGGCTAAACTTTACATCCAATTTTTTAGACCAAAATAACCCAAATCTTAATATTAGTGCAGGAATGAGTTGATCAATATCAGAGATTTTGAGGCTGTTCAAAATACTCCCAGTCGTGTATTATCAAGTTTAAAAACTCTCCGCATCGGCTCGATTTTTTAAATCCTATAATACACTCCTGATTGTTTTTTAAACGGTAAAGAGAATTATTAATTTATTGTATTTTGATTGGCCTGTTTTCTGCTATTATCTTCTAGAGTCAATCTAGCAATCTGACATAGATGCAAGATTTTTCAAAAAAGCTAAGAAGGAAATAACATTTTAAATTTGCATCTGGGTCTCAGCTCTTTAAAGCCTGAGCTAAAT